TTTTTTTTATGGTTTTCCTGTATTTTGTATGGACGGTCCAATAGACCGTAACTATCCTATATTGTTTTTATTTCGAACTATACCTAGGAGGGTTAATATTGTTTTGAATTAAATTGACGTCACTCACATGTTTACACCGCCACACAAATAATATATGTATGAAAAAATTCCGTAGGACACTCCAAAGCAAATCGGTTGAATGACATGAAACAGCCTTAAAGGATGCGCGACAATTAATATGTCCAAAAACATAATTACCGAATTCATTGCATGTGAAAGTATATTAGGGGCATTAATGGGTATTTTGTCTACATTTCAAATGAAATTAAAAATATTTACATAATTAAATTAAACGACATATAGTAATCTAAGTATATTTCCAGATAGTTTGACATTACCATTATGCAATATTGACCTGAACACAATTAAGGAATAAAAAAAATACTACGTTATTATAAAAAAATACACATTATTATCGTTACATACTGACCAGTAAATGATCGTTACAGCAAACGACGTGATTAACGCAATATTGTGCAATGCCCAATATATTTTGAACGCAGTTGGCATTTCGCTATTTTTTAGAATATTTTCTATAAATTTACAAGTAAATAAGTGGAGCGTTGTTACGTCTGATGATTAAACACAGAAAATATCGGTTGAAATATAGTCTACTATACCTTGGAAATCTGTGTGAAAATGCCAAGTAGTGACTAATATGGCACCAAAAACTCCAACAACCATGTTGATTAAGATGCCCCAATGTGTCAAGTAGATGAAGAATAGCCCAAAACTGTATTTTTGCATATGAGAATACATTGAAACGATTACAACCGCAATCACAAATATTGCAACCAGCAAACGGTAAATTAAATAAATATTGTTTTTCGATCTGGATTGCCATTGTGAACGGACGATTGACTCAACAGGATCATGATCGAAGCCACAATTACTCAGCTTCAATTCTTTTTTATGCGTCTTTACGATTTTTTTCGACATTTTTTTCTTCTTTTTTCGATTATTTCAATATACACTTGCGACTAAAATGCAATTGATAACCCAGCTAAATGATTAGTCGGCACTTTTAGCTAAAATAAATAGTTGAATAAGTTTACATTAGATAAGAAATATTTCATAAAAATGTGTTGATTTTCTTAAAGATAATTTGAAACGAAAGCGCAATCATTTTACATTCCTTCACGTTTACGTCGATAAAACGAATGACTCAAACTTTGCGCGACTTTTATTTTGAATGTTTTACAATATATTTGTTTGAAGAATGAAGATACAAAAATCGTTCAAATTTTAAACAATCCACATTCAGAGGTTTGAATTAATATATTTTTATATCCCGAAATGTTTTTTTTTTCTTTGAAATACGCGTGAGCGCATTGAAACTTTGTGATTATTTTTCTGTGTGAAATAACTTTTTATTACTCTTTATCGGGAAGCAATATTTATTTGTATGTATTTCACTTGGGTCGAATGCAACATTTTGCAACCACCTTTGATTGCTCTCTGAAACAAATTCTCGCCTATATGCCATACAATAAATTCCTCTCCCAGAGAATTGTCAAAATAGCTTTTGATTGATTGAAGTTCGAATTAGTTAACCTTTCAATTTAATCGTAAAGTTTCTGCATATATCTTCTATATACATATAAAAAGTGCAACTCGAGATCAATAAGTGAATCAATGAAAAGTCTTTGTTAGTGCTTCAACTCAAACGTTCACAAAAAATGCTTCGCAAGTAATGGCATGCAAACATAAATGATTTACACCCGCGCAACTTGCGAATGAATAACATTTAAAACTCACCGTCAGCATTCCATATGCTCGTCAATAAACTAGCCATATTGTAAATCATAACTTTAATTATTTAATTGGTAATCAGAGATTATTATTTAAGATCAATTTGTTGCCGATTTAATTGTCCTACTTTTTAATATCGTTTCAAAGTCTAGCACCGTATCTATCTGTGGATGTAAAATCTGTTTTTGTTTTGACATTTGAACTTAATTGACATTATCAATGAATTTAAATCGTTATATCTTGTGCAAACATAAATTGTCTGATGAGTCTTCTGGTAGTTTACTGAACAAAGCTTTATAAAACAAGCCCTTAATTTTTTGTATCTGATAATTGGATTTAACGTAAACGATGGAAAAATAATGATAACAGAAAAAATGACAAAATGACTATTCGGAATAAAAACTGTTGATTCATCATTATCTTGCAATAAGTCAGAGCTGGGCACGAACATCAATGTCCGACTGTGATCGTTCGTTCGTGTGCATTTTTTTCCTTTTTTGTGATCGGTCGTTCGTTCGTTGAATTTCTTAATGGTCGGTCGGTCGTTCATAAAAATTGAAATGTTCGTTGTGTTCGTTCGTATGTGCGATCGAACACCGAACACGTGCGGACGTCCGGATGTTCGAAGCAAAATTGTAAAATCAGGTTTGTTAAATAATTTATAATTATACAAATTTAAAGAAAAAAATATTCAAATAAATAAATTTTCAAATATTTTCTAATTCATATAAGTTTTCTTTCTCAAGTGTTCAAAATATTAATTTTTTTTATTACGAAATGTTATGAAATTCATCTATATTTATTTCATCATTGAAAAAGGTTATTTCAGGTATAGACTATACCAAATATACGGAATTTCTCAAAATTCGTAATAAGAAAATTTAATATTTTTTTAGTGTTCAAATTAAGAACATAAATGAATGTGAATTAGAAAATATTGGAAAATTCATTTATTTAATTATTATTATTTTTTGTACAATTTCAAAATATTTAACAGAGAATTGCAAACTCGACTTGATAATTTTTGCGCCGAACATCCGGACATCCGGACATGTTCGGTGTTCGATCGCACATACGAACGAACACAACGAACATTTCAATTTTTACGAACGACCGACTGATCATTAATGATTTCAACGAACGAACGACCGACCACAAAAACATATTTTTTACAATTTACGAACGAACGACCGACTGTTCGTGCCCAGCTCTGCAATAAGTAAACAAATAAACCTTCCTTTCGTAAATAATATTCAACAACGATAATTTCCAAAATCACTCTGAACTGTCATCCGTTTTATTGTTAATTGTTGTTCAATGTACTTGAAATCCAATTTCCGGGGTGAACAGTTAATTTCCACAGCGTATTCGATAAATTTGACCGTCTTCACATAGTGTAGGCAGTAGGCACAATGCTAACAAAAAAATATGATTTCATAGAAAAAAGTGTTCAACAGCCATCATATATGTCATTTATTGATTGACTCAAAGACAGAAGATAAATGAAAACTGAATAATAACGCATGAGATAATGAGGATTAGTGCCGGTAAAAAACGGTGTTATGATTAGCTTCAGCTGATGAGAGGCACGACAAACGACCGTATATTGAAGATATCAAACATTATACACGTTGTCAAATCTAATACGAGCTCATGTATCAACGTTTGTGCGCACATTTTACTTAATTATTATCGAGAGTTGGATAACAGCAATTAAAGCTTCTGGTTTCCATTTCTCGGCATCTCTCCATGAAAATAATAAATTTCCTCATTGCTTTGAAGTAAAAAAGAAGTTTAAGCTTACACTTTTTTTCTTTTAGACATGTCAGGTATCACGCGTCAGAGCTTGTTTTTGTTTATCTCGTGAAAAAGTCTCAACTTATTTTTTTATTTATTTATTATACATTCAGACAAAAAAGTTACCCACTCACACAAAGAATTTAGAATGGTTGACGCAATACACTCTGACTCGTCTCATTTAAGCACGTAAAAATATTCAATTCCATTACGTTTTGTTAATATAAATAAATTATTTTCACTTTTCGTAATTTTAGAGGCATTAAGGCAATTCGAACCGTTAACAATGATAGATTCAAAACATAAGACCAAAAACATTAGACCATTGTCAATCGATTGGCAAATTTCAAATAACTGATGTGATTGAAAAAATATCAACAGGAAAGAAAAATAACTCACTTCCAGCATGACGGGCGAAATTAATACAAAATTACATACTTTCGGCTTTGACACGTAAATTTACTAGTATAAACAAATTTTCAATAAATGAATTGTATGCGAAGTAAATAATATGTTTGTTTCAACAATTTCGTATTGTAGTTATCTCTATTGCTTGAATGACACTTTTAGACACACAGAATTAGACACATTTAACGTAGTTCAATTAACATAATTGAAATAGAAAAACAACAACGTTCAATATTTTATGGATTCCATGAAAAATCACCTGCGTCAATATTGACGATAACTATTTCAATTGATTTTATTTTAATGAAAACCACGTCAAGACATAATTTGTAGTTTGTATTTTGACCTCCAATCGTATTTATAGGTATAAGTTATACACCAAGATGCTCTAACTGACCCGGCGAAAAAAAAAACAAACTCTTTAAATATAATACTTGTTTCGGTGTATTTTCATTCAAATGTTTATTACTTTATTTACTATTTATATCTTTGGAACCATAAAACGTTACAAAGGTGAACGAAGATGAAACTAAATGAATGGTCAATGTGCGTTTCCAACTTTTGATCGTCTTTTGTTAATGAATCTAAAGACGATGAATTGGAAGGCTAACTGGATCCAATCGATGCATTTTGGGTCAACATACAAATAATTGCAAGACAATTGCAAAAACTTAACGGCGGTGGTATATTTATTCTTTTAACTTTTATTCATTTAAAGACTTTATGAATGAAAAAAAATTCTGATTATTGTGAACAAGTTTTTGGTGTTATTCACGATTCCACTCTACTCTGTGATACAATGTAATACACAACTTCTACTTCACTTTCATTATTTTGTTATTCAAAAGAAACACGTTCATTTTAGTATGAGCATGAAATGAATTCTACTTAATCTTTCTTTTTTTCGTAAGCTGTTTTGTTTAGTCGAATCAACCGATAGAAAATTCTTAACACCTTAACAGGATTTGAATAACTTTATTCTGAAAGTAAAATAAACACCAGGGTTCGCAAATCCGACCGAGGTCCGACCGCCGACCGACCGCCG